GGGCAATGCCACTGTCATCATGGATAAAATAGAATATAACAACAAAATTCCAGAACTACTCAACGATGGCAGCTATACCCCACCAACAGCCTCATCATAAAAACCAACAAAATCATTTCTGATTCAACCGCATTAATTGATCAAACCAAACAGCTCTCGTTTAAACCTTCTGCAGCCAGGCCACCAAGATTATATGGTTTACCAAAGATGCATAAAGAGGATACACCCCTTCGTCCCATCGTCTCTACTATCACCTCCCCAACCTACAAACTGGCTCGTTTATTGTCTGAAATCCTGCAGCCTTTCACTGGAAAAACCACCTCTGCGTTACTATACTCTACTCACCTGGTATCGAAAATCAAGGGTATTTCCCTGTCCCCAGACGACCTGCTTGACAGTTTTGATGTGGTTTCCTTATTCACCAAAGTGCCTGTACCTGACACCATGGGGGTACCCCCCATGGTGAGACACTGCTTAACCAATACATACTTCACCTGGAATTGAACTTTCTACAAACAAACTGAGGGCACCTCAATGGGCTCCCCCCTATCTCCGGTTGCAGCCAACGTTTTCATGGAGAAATTTGAGACTGACGCCATCCAGACTGCCACTCTACGCCCGACCTTATGGAAGAGGTACGTGGATGACACTTTTGTCATTTGGCCACATGGCCAGCCTGCTTTAGATCAATTCCTCGACCACATTAATTCCATACACCCAGCCATCAGATTTACCATGGAAGTCGAAAAAGATGGCAAGCTACCTTTTATTTATGTCCTAATAAAATAGATACCTGATGGTTCAATGAGCCACTCTGTCTACAGGAGAGCTACCCATACGGATGCTTACCTAAAATCGGATTCCCACGACCATCCATCCCAGAAGAATTCCCTCATCAAGACTCTACACGATAGAACCCAATGCATCTCCAACCAGGAACACATTGCCAGTGAACTCAAGCACGTACACCAAGCTCTCAAGGCTAATGGTTACTCCGACTACACAATCCACAAAGCCATCACTCCAACCATGAAGAAGGATCCTCTTGAGGAGCCATTCAAAACTATCACCTTACCCTACATTGCAGGGGTCACAAAACATCTCCAAAATCCTGAATAAACACAAGATCATTCAACACAGTACATAAAATCCGTGATCTGGTCCCGTCTTAAAAGATGTGATTCCAGACATACAGTACCCTGACGTCTACAAACTAAGTTGCCTCTGTGGTAGCAGTTACATTGGAGAAACCAAACGACAAGTCTCGGACCGCATCCGTGAACACAAAGCAGACGGGAAACACGGTAGGACCAACACCTCAGCCGTGGCAGACCATTATTAAAATTCAGTGGGCTCACATCACGTTGACTTCTCCAAGACGGAGGTTCTCTGCAAGCCATCCGGCTACCATGAGAGATTCGTTCATGAGGCCATCCATATATACAAACACAGAGACAATTTCAACCGAGAAGATGGATTCTGCCTCAGCAATCATCGGAAGAACGTGATAAACTATTTCGGGTCTTGATTGATTCTGTTCCCTTTTACGGTGACTTTCAGACCGCATTCCATTCACTGGCATTGACTATATAGCTTTTGTATTCTCTTTGCTCCGCTGCAAGTTTCCTGCTACCACTCTCCCATTGAAATTTATTTGCTTCCTCTTAGTACCATTCACGCGACGGTTAATGGTATGGTGTATAGTAGATCGTATAACAAATAGTATAATAGTGTAATGTTGAATATGATGTTTAAGGTAATTTATAGTATCGTAATTGTATAGTGAATATACAGCAGTATGGTATACAGAAGGGTTTGTAGAATAATAGTGTAATATTACAATATTTAGTCCAAGGGAAATGGTAGTGTATTGTAACGCAGTGTATAATTCAATGTTTGAGTTTGTCTATGGCAGTGTATAGTACGATCTATAGTCGTGTGATGTATAAAAAAGTTTAGTTGGAGGCATATCAATATAATGCATAATGTTAGAGCTTATATTGGTGATATTGATTATATTGATGTATACTCTTTGCTTCTTTCGGTAAAGTCACGTAGGCAAAAATAAAAAATAAAGTTAATCAAATCACGACGTTTTGGAGGCAACACAAGCTTCCATCATCAGGTGTAACTAGCACAGAAAAATTACAGTAATGGATCATTGCAGTCACGAAAACTTCAAATCTATATTGATGTAGTTTATATTTTAGTTTTTTTTATCGGTTTACTATATACGAAGGCTTTCGCGACCAATATTATTCATAATAAAGGTTTTTGGGTTAGATCGCATTATCAGATTGTTAAAACAATTAAAATTCCATATATCTCAGGAGTAACTGACAAATTAGCCCGTGTTTTGCAACAGCAAAACATTACAGTAAGATTTGGTACAGTACACAAAATTCAAAAACTAGTATCTTGCACTAAAGACGAATTACCTAAATTATCAACAGACGGTGTATTTCGGATTAATTGTTTATGTGGCAGATGCTATATTGGACAGACGGGACGTAACATCAGCATAAGACTAAAAGAACACCAAAGAAATATTAAATTATCTCAAACACAACTGTCGGCAGTGGCAGAACATGCTTGTCAACAAGGACACTCAATTGATTTTGATAACATTGAAGTGTTGTGTAAAACTAATTATTACTGGCAAAGACTAATTAGAGAATCCATGAAAACTGAGAGAAATAAAAATAACTTTAATCGCTCTGATAGCTATAGGCTTAGTGCGGCTTGGAAGCGTATTATTAAATAATACATATTACAATTCCTTATATGGGAAACACATACTAATTAACGGATTACTATCGTAGCATATATTCACAATAACACACATAACAACTCATTACTAATCATAATCATTGACTGATTACCAATCAATTATATAATTACTGCACCAGAATGAGTTAAATGATGACATCACCCTGCTGCTCTATTTAAGACCGGGAGCAGGTGAGGGCTTTACCATTCTGGCGAATTACCCGATGATGCTGGATGTAATTACCAGCGAAACGTCGTATTCAAACTGTAAATGTTGTGGATTCACTCTTCAACACACCGGTGGGCTAAAGTAGTGAACAATTTGTCTTTTGTCAACGTTACACTTTTTTTGCTGATTGGCCATGTCGGGTGGTGGAGGGTTACGACGCATTTATAAATAACGCGATCTAACCCAAAAACCTTTATTATGGGCTTACTATATGGTAGTCATTATATAGTGTAGTGTATACCCACTTAATTAATGTTAATAGCTCAACTTATTGGAGAGTGTACTGAGTACATTGATTATATTGATGTAGTTTATATTTACTTTTTTCACATCGGTTTATTGTATGGTAGTAGGGTATTTGCAGTTCTTTAGAAACTCATTTTTTGTTTTCCACATAATGCACTAGCTTGATACGCGGTGGGTTGGCTGCTGCAGTTCTTTATTATTAAAATTTCCCTTCCTTTACTACTGCTAATCCTACATACAAAATATGACTTTGAGACCCCGCCTACACATTCCACAAGGAGTGACTAACCCCATATCTGCATTTATCATCAACATGCTAAGTTCCTCTGTTGATATGTAAACTCCTTTGTCAAGGCGTTCTCCTCCTCCCACCCAGCTTAAAATACGCTGCCAAGCTTAGCGGTGTTCATTAGGACGCTGTCTTTCCGACAGCTGTGTTCTTCACCTGAGGACGGCTGCTTGCGTTGTGGCCGAAAAGTCGTGAGAATTTTATTATGTTTCATTTTTATTATTTCCCTTCTACGTGACTTTACCTAAAGAACCAAGAATATGAATCCCTGCAGTCACGAAAGCTTCAAATCGAAATCTTAACTGACTGTGATGTTTCCATCCCACCTGCCTATGTTAGCTCTTATTTCCGACTCTCGGTGTGTGTGTCTTTCTCTCTCTCTATGCCTCTCTCTTAGATCTCTCATGCTCACATGTCCTTTGCATTGCACTCTAATGCCTTTGGATTGCACTCATATTCACATGCCCTTTGGATTGCACCCTTTGGGTTGCACTCATGCCTTTGAATTGCACCACTTTTCGATTTTGCATTAACATCCTAATCTCTCACATTAACATAGCCACTTCCATGCCTTCGTGGAGGAGGCCACTCTCCTATCTTACAGTTACATGCTACTTTCTCACATTAACATCACTAGCCCCGCCCATTTCTTTATGACCCTTGGGCTACTCCCATTTCAAACCTTTTAAAAACAGTCTGTCTCAGCAGCAGACCGTTCTTTCTCACCTGATGATGGACGCTTGTGTTGCGCCCAAAACGTCGTGATTTATTTTATTTTATACCTACGTGACTTTACCGAAAGAACCAAAGAGTATGGATTCCTGCAGTCACGAAAGCTTCAAATCAAGATTGAACCTGAGCATGTTAAATAAATTCCAATTCGTTTCTATTTTTAATGATTAACGCAAAAATGTGTTTTTTGGGGTTTCTAAGCATGAAGTTGCGTTTTTAACTCATCGCACTGTAAATATTACTGCAATAATGCGTGCACAATTTTACCATTGGAACAACGTTCATGTTAGGCACAAACAGTGGAATAGACTTACCATTTTAACAGGGTTTTATTTCAGTTCTACTTTACAGGCGGGCGTCGTTTGTGCCGAGTGAGGCGGTAACATATTGGGTTAAAATTTCCACTCGCATTCAAAAGCTGTAACTTTCCACTGTTGGACAAAAACAAGCCGATTGTCTCACATTTCCTTCCTTCCCGAGTAGGTGGTCTCTGATTTATCTGATTTGTCTCGCCATTTTCCTCACCCCGCGTCTTCATCATCATGTGCCTTCCCTCGATCCCCACTCAACAGTTCATTTTGTTCCTCTCACTGTCGTCAATTCTCCCAACGTATATTCCACTTGTGTTTTGTTTGGGGGTTCGACGAAATTTAATTGATTATAAATATGTATGTAATCAACCGTTAAATAATGGTAAAGCTGTACTTAAAACATAAGCATTCTAAGAGTCAATGATCATTGTAAAGTGGATTTGCATAATATAGATGTCAGCTTTGTGTGTTTTTATGTTAATTTATTATTTGTAGATGAGGACATTGTTATGAGTAGCATGGGATATTCAACTTGGCTGACCCTGAAAATATTTCCATATCCCCTATTTCCTGCCACAATACACTTCCCTGATTGGTTGCTGTAAGCAGGCATTAAACTATAAGTGTCTGTCCAACGCTCACAGAGCTGACCACTCCTGCTGTAGTCTGCAAGGCTGGTGTCTTAAACTAATAACCGATTCTGTTCTCACTCTAGTGCTCACAGTAAATCTTCACAAGTTGCGTTGGGGCTTTTGTTACCTGCAGCGGTTTGTTTTTATTGTATTTACAGGCTTCTGATCGCTGTAGAGTTAGAGAGAGTTGCGTGGTATCGCTGCTTATCCATGGGGCTCTTCAAATTGCCGCTGTTTCTGAGCATTTCCACGACACTTTTATGTGAGTTCCTTTTTATAAAAGTTTACTAATTTATATAATCGATACAATTTGCAAGTACGAAATTTGACTCCCTTGAGACTCTTTTTACCCGGTTACACAGTAACATGCACATGAATGTTAAAATTATTTTGAAACGTGCGTATGCAACCGTGCGAATCAGAGGTGTGGGGAAAGGACAACAAAGTTGAATGAAGTTCAATTTGTTCAACCCCTAAAATAATCAGATATGAAACAACAATGAAGTCTGAGAGTTAAACCACCGAGTTGGGATCGCCAAAAGAATCATGCTGCGCTTTGCTTGTGGGGTTTTAATCTGGGTGATGCTAATGCCTTGTGCTTACAGGTGCCGTTGTTGTGAGGACAGCAGTGTGCTTCTCAGCAGAGGATTGCAGTGGGATTCCACCAAAAAAATGGTCCGAGGAGCCGCCACACTCATGCCTTGAAATCAAACAGAAGACAAAAACAGAGAGAGGTGAGGCTAGATGCTTCACACAACGCTGTCTTCTAATTTAAATGAGATCTACCCCTAATTCAGCTGACACCGATATCGGGGATCCGACTCTGACATTTTAGCCCAGGGGTCGGCAACCTGCGACTCTTTGGCTGCCCCCTTGAGGCTCTTTGGCTGCACCCCTTGCGACTCTTTGGCTTCCCCTTGAGGCTCTTTGGCTGCCCCCTTGCGACTCTTTGGCTGCCCCCTTTGCGACTCTTTGGCTGCCCCCTTGCGACTCTTTGGCTGCCCCCTTGAGGCTCTTTAGCTGCCCCCTTGAGACTCTTTGGCTTCCACCCTTTGCGACTCTTTGGCTGCCCCCTTGAGACTCTTTGGCTGCCCCCTTGCGACTCTTTGGCTTCCCCCCTGGTGACTCTTTGGCTGCCCCTCTTGCGACACTTTGGCTGCCCCCCTTGAGACTCTTTAGCTACCCCCTTGCGACTCTTTGGCTGCCCCCCTTGCGACTCTTTGGCTGCCCCCTTGCGACTCTTTGGCTGCCCGCATCTTGCCGAGGCTTCTCTGAACAAAATAGTGCCGTGGCTTAGTTTGCAATTGCGAGTTTGCGTTTTAAGTCAATGTTTTTAAATATTTAATGGAAACTGGTTAGTAAGTATGGGTATTCATAAGTCGGGAATTCGTAATTGGAGGACTGCTTGTATAGCTCAGTAGGCCTCTCCTGGTAAAATACAAAAAGTTTTAGTTCTAAAAGTTTATTCATAGTAATAATTTGTCATTTGCACGTCCTCCCACTTCCTGCCGCTCGTCCCCTACTTCCTCAGCCCTCCCTTGGATCCCCGATCCCTCATCTGGGATGTTGGTGGATGGCAGGGCACGCTAGGGGATGTCGGTGGGGTCTGTTCATAGCTGTGGTACCACCAAACCATGCCCATGATTCCTACCACGTGATGCACCCCCTTTAACCCAGTAACAAAACACATGCATGCCACGTGACCCAGCCACCATCTCCGAGTAACTAATTGACCCATGCCACTGCAGTTGCCCCCTCTTTCAACCTCACAGCACTGCACACTGTACCAAAATATATATTTACCTACATAATTGGTTTGGGTATCACACGTGTTCTTTCAATGGAAAGATAGCACACTGAGAAACCCACGTTTGGTCTACATCCACACAACTCATTTGTTGAATCTGTTCCCTTTGCTCACGAAAGATGGGCTATACTCGCTGCAAACGAAGAGCGGGCAGTCCTACCAGGCGTTCTGCGATATGAACACCAACGGAGGAGGCTGGACCCTGGTCGCCAGCGTCCACGAGAACAACATCGCGGCCAAGTGTACCACGGGAGACCGCTGGACCAGTCAGCAGGGCAGCAATTCTGCAGTTCCATTCATAGACGGGGATAAAAACTGGGCCAACCTCAACACATTTGGTGTGCCCGAGTCGGCGACTGATGACGACTACAAGGTTTGTCGTTTACTCAAATGGCACTTCGACCATTTGGATTCGTACAAATGCAGCGGCATGAGCATGCGGGCTACTTGACACAGCCAACGCATCCTTGCCCACCGGAGAAGCTCAGATAGGGACTGTGTCCAGATCTTTCAAGGATTTGTTAGCTACTCACACAATCCAGCCTGGTTAAACCCAGGATGGATCATTTGCAGGCCAGTTTTAAATGTTTCTAACCAGCATAGATGTTAGATTAGGGGGGGTTCATGTTTCGCAAGCATAGAGAAGGGAGGGCATGACCGGTCAAGAACTGAAATTTTGTGTTGAGTGACAAACTAGGTAGCTTCCATGAAACGTTATGCAACCAATGTAAATATAATGCCGCCTAACTAATTTTGACCAAGACCTTGCTGCCAGGCAGGTGGCTTTGTTTTTGTGGGGCTGATAATAAGGCCCCATCGCTTAGTTCAGCAGGAGGGATTGTTTTCAAATCCTTCTCAGAGTGGGCAGAATTTAGTAAATCATCTGCATATGTAACACAGTTGACCAATAGGGAGCCATCCCTTGACTCCACCTCCCATGTTATCTATCCCAGATGGAAACTCAAGTTGTACATCCATCGAAAGTTTATTGAGCTACGTGGTCAAAAGATGTTAAATCGTGTAGGGGCTAAAGAGTATCCCTGTCCCACGCCAAAGTGAAACAGAAATTGGCTCCAACTCATTGTCACACAGCTTTACCAGGGGCCTGCTCACCATCATAAAGGTCCGTGATGATTGTGAGCAGAGGGTCTTGGACTCAGAAAGCATGAAGAGCCCGGCCTATTGATGGTGCCATAGGTCTTGACTAGGTCAATAAAACAGATATGTAGGTCGTGTTGAAATTCCATACACCTCTGCTGTAGCAAACGGACGGAGAAAATGGTGTCTGTGCACGACTGCTCCTATCGAGAAGCCTCTCCTCAGCATGTCTGGCAAGGCGGTGTTTGACAATACTTGCCAGGATCTTTTCCGGCACACCGAGGAGGAAGATGCCCTGGTAGTTGCAATCAGTGTGGTCCCCCTTTTAAAAATGAGCACCACCATGGAATCCTTACAATCCTGCGAAACCTGTCATGTGGACCAGATGGTTGTAATGATGTAACATAGGGTATGTCTGCACACAATCACCGTCCTCCCTCAGCAGTTCGCTTGAGAAGCAATCTCTACCTGGTGCTTTACCTGGTCTCAAGCTCCAGATCATCCTTTGCACTTCCTTAATAGATGGCACGACACCCAACGACTCATGGGGAGCAGCTACTTCCTCCAATAGTTGAGGCACTGTGGCCCTAGCAGTGTCAACCCCACCTTGTCCCATGATGTTATTTGAGTTGAAGGGGTTTCCCTCCAAGACCTGACAGAAATGCTCAAACCTGCAAACCCGTTCTTGGGGGTTAGAGGTCGGATCAGTGTTCTTTCCCTTAAGGATGGTAATAGATGTGGTGCTGCAATTACTTTGTAGAAGCGAAACTTTGAACCCAACAACTTTTAGGAAGGAACCAGAGACAAATGTAGAAGCAGGTAGCTTATACGTACATAAAATTTGTGTCCATCCATCACGCTGTGGATCTCCCAAATGATATGTAGGAGGAAATCATACAAAAGATAAAACAATTGCTTTGAAGGTCTGCCAACATAGACACATATATATATGATATTGCTTGATTATTTTAAGTGAAGGTGCTGAAACAGGCGAAGAAAATGTTCATTCGTAAATACGCATGTCCGCTTTGTTAAGTTGTTTATTGTAGTTGTGCTGTGTGTGTGTTTTATTTATTCAGAACCCGGGATATTACGATCTGGAGGCAAATGACATAGCAGTGTGGCATGTTCCTAACGGGACTCCTTTACCTGCGTGGAAGACATCATCGCTCTTTCGCTACCACACGGAGTCGAAGTTTCTGGCTGCCTTTGGAGGAAGCTTTTATTCCTTTTTCAAGGTAGAGTCCTTTGTCTGACTTGTGACTCATGAGGTTGATAACCTTATATCAAAATTGTACTGGGGTGTTATATGCCTTTTGGCCAAACCACCTTGAAGGCCCTAAACTTTTCAGATCTCAGAAGCTAATCAGGATAGATCTTGCATAGTGATTTAATAATTGACCTGCAAGGTTTAATTTAATGGATATATTTCTGGAGCTCAGCCCCAGATAACTCTGGTGGAAATTAATGCCCATTGACCAGGAGGTACAGGTTGTTATCGCGCCGTCAGGCCTTTACAGTGGATAGCAATGGACAGTGGAGCGATATATGTCCCTATGTATGTCTATGCCTCCACATGTATGCTCCCTACCTCCACCAATCTGCACTTGTCCAATGTGCTGATGTATGGCCACGTACCCCGATGACCCACAAAGGTGTTGGTAGACCTTAATCTAGCAATGATTTGACGAAAAGGAAAACGCATACATGATATGGGTGATCTTAATGGGAGCGTACACATGAATAAACACATTTTAAGTGGCGTAACATTGTTCTGTTGTTTTCAGGTAAATATTGATTGATGGTTCTCCTTTTGTTTGCAGAATTTCTTCCCATTAACGTACAATTCCGGAAGCTGTCCCACCAATAACGGGCCTGCCTACCCCATTGTTTATGACTATGGAAGTGACGCAGTCGTCAATTCTCTCAGCTGCCCTAACTGTTTGAGTAAGTATTGCTTATACTGGTACTTTATCTGCAATGCGGTATGATTAACAGATTTTGACTTAAAACTTTCGTGTCTGCAGGAATTCATATTCTTTGGTTCTTTCGGTAAAGTCACATAGATTGAAAAATAATAATAAAAAAGAAACTGATAAAAATAAATAATAAATTTGAAATAAAAATAATAAGAACAACTAATGTAGACTGTAGCCTGGTTCTTAACGTCGGTGAGTGCACTGGCAGTCTATAATGTAGACTGTAGCCTGGTTATTAACCAGAGTGAGCGTACTGGCAGTCTTTAATGTAGACTTATTGTTGGTTCTTTCAGTAATAAAAATAAAATAAAAAATTAAAACAAAAACCAAGACGTTTCGATCGCAACACAAGCGGTTGTCATCAGGAAAAGGGGGGTTAGCCTCTAAAGGCAAACTGTTTATAAAGGCTGAGAGATGGGCGTAGCCCAAGTGTGTCAGCAGCATGGGTGGGGCAGCTAATGTTAATGTTGGAGAAAACAACGATACCGGCAGTGGGTCTACACCAATCAAAGGGCCGCAAGGCAATCATTGCACCTCGCTCCACACACCCACCCTGCTGACGGCGGAGGTTGACAAGAAAACAAAAAATCAAGTCATGACCCAAAGTGGTTGATGACATATTTCCAATTATTTTTGGGTTTATAAAAATCCTCTCGGTTGAAATTGTGTCTGTATATATGGATGGTTTCATGAACGTTTGCAAAGTACTATTGTCTTAGAAAAATAAATTTCGTGTGAGCCAGCCGTATTAAAATAATGATCAGCCACGGCAGAAGAATTGGTCCTACCGTCTTTCAAATCTTCATTATGCTCACGAACACGGTCCGAGATATATCGCTTAGTCTCCCCAATGTAAAGGCTGCCGCAAATACAGCTTAGTTTGTAGACTCGGGGATATTGCATGCCAGGAATCATGTCCTTCCCAGATGGGATCAGATCACGAATTCTATGTACTGTGTTAAATCGGACCTGGATCTTGTGTTTATTCATGATTTGGGAAATATTTTGGTTACCCCTGCTATGTATGGCCAGGTGATGGTTTTGATTGGATCGTCAGATGGCTCCTTCATAACGGTTGGGGTGATGGCTTTGCAGATTGTGTAGTCAGGATATCCATTCGCCTTGAGAGCTTGGTGTACGTGTTTGAGTTCACTGGATAGGTGTTCATGGTCGGAGATACATTGAGCTCTATGGTGTAGCGTTTTGATGAGGGAATTATTCTGGGATGGATGGCGGTGGGAAACAGGTTTTAGGTAGGCGTCAGTATGGGTTACTTTCCTGCAGACAGAATGGCTCATTGAGCCATCTGGTCTCTTTTTGATTAGGACATTCGATAAAGGTAGCATGCCATCCTTTTATACCTCCATGGTGAATTTGATGGTTGAGTGTATGGAATTGATGTGGTTGAGGAATTGGTTCAGAGCCGGTCGGCCATGTGGCCAGATGACAAACGTGTCATCCACGTACCTCTACCACAAGGACGGGCGTAGAGTGGATGTCTGGATGGCGTCCATCTCAAAATTTTCCATGAAAATATTGGCTACAACTGGAGATAAGGGAGAACCAATTGGGGTACCTTCAGTTTGTTTATAGAATTTTCTATTCCAGGTGAAGTATGCATTGGTGAGGCAGCATCTCACCAGCACCGGTACATCAGAATTCAATTTTTGTTGGACCAAATCTTCAATGATTGCAATAGTATCGGGCACAGGAACTTTGGTGAGCAAAGAAACTACATCGAAACTCACGAGCAAATCACCTGGGGACAGTGAGATGTCTTTAATTGATGATACTAGGTGAGCCGAGTTCAGTACCGAAGAGGTGGTTTTACCAGTGAATGGCTGCAAGGTCTTAGGCAGATATCGGGCCAGTTTGTAGGTGGGTGAGCCAATGTTGGAGACGATGGGAAGAAGGGGTGTACCTTCTTTATGATTTTTGGTAGGCCATATTATCTTATTCATATTCTTGGTTCTTTCAGTAAAGTCACGTAGAAGGTAAATAATAAAATAATAATAAAACATAATAAAATAAAATTATCACGACGTTTCGGCTACAACACAAGCAGCCGTCCTCAGGTGAAGAACAGAGCTGTCGGAAAAACAGCATCCTAATGAACACTGCTAAGCTTGGCAGCGTATTTTAAGCTGGATGAGAGGAGCAGAGCGCCTTGACAAAGGAGTTTACATATCAACAGAGGCATTTAGTATATTGACGCTAAAGAACTGCAACTACCTCTACTACCATACAATAAACCGATGTGAAAAAACTATATATAGACTATATCAATATAATCAATGTACTCAATATACTCTCCAATAAGCTGAGCTATTAAAATTAAGTAACTTGGTATACACTGACTATATATTGACTACCATACAGTGAACCGATAAAAAAACTAAAATAAACTACGTTAATATATTTTGATTTAAAGCTTTTGTGACTGCAGGGATTCATATTCTTGGATCTTTCGGTAAAGTCACGTAGGTATAAAATAAAATAAATCAAGATGTTTTGGGCGCAACACAAGCGTCTGTCATCAGGTGAGAAAGCATGTTCTGCTGCTGAGGCAGACTTTTAAAAGGTTTGAAATGGGTGTAGCCCAAGGGTTATAAAGTGGCCGGGGCTAGTGATGTGAATGTGAGAAATTAGCATGTAACTGTAAGATCGGAGGAGAGCGGCCTTCTCGACGAGGGAGTGCAACCCAACGGGTGCAATCCAAAGGGCATGTGAGCATGAGAGTGCAATCCAAAAGACGTGAGCATGAGAGTGTGATCCAAAGGACATGTGAGCATGAGAGTGCAATCCAAAAGACATGAGCATGAGAGTGCAATCCAAAAGACATGTGAGCATGAGAGTGCAATCTAAAAGACATGTGAGCATGAGAGTGCAATCCAAAAGACATGTGAGCATGAGAGTTCAATCCAAAGGTGTGAGAGTGCAATGCATGAGAGATCTAAGAGAGAGGCATAGAGAGAGAGACACACACAGAGAGTCGGAAATATCAGCTGACATAGGCAGGTAGGATGGAAACATCACAGTTCGTTAAGATTTTACCTGGTTAATAGCGTCCTTCCAATGATTGCTCAGTTTGTACCCATCCCCTTTGTTGAATTTGTGTCTGTGTTTATATATCTGGATGGCTTCATGAACAAATCTCTGAAGGTAGCCGATAGGTTTGCAGAGTACCTCCGTCTTGGAAAAATACATTTCATGCGAGCCCACAGACGTTTAAACAATGATCGGCAATGGCAGAGGTATTGGTCCCTACCGTGTTTCAGATCTGCCTTGTGTTCACGAACACGGTCCAAGACAATGTCGTTTCGTTTCCCCAATGTTACTGCTGCCTACAACCACAACTTCAGTTTGTAGACACCAGGAATCACATCATTTACAGATGGGATTAATCACGGATTTTGTGTACCAGTTTTGAACGAACCTGATCTTGTGTTTGTTTAAGATTTTGGAAATCTTTTTGGTAACCCCCGGGACAGACGGGACGTGAACATCAGCATAAGATTAAAAAAAACACCAAAGAAATATTAAATTATCTCAACCACAACTGTCGGCAGTGGCAGAACATGCTTGTCAACAAGGACACTCAATTGATTTTAATAACGTTGAAGTGTTGTGTAAAACTAATTATTACTGGCAAAGACTAATTAGAGAATCCATTGAAATCGAGAGAAATAGAAATAACTTTAATCGCTCTGACAGCTACAGGCTTAGTGCGGCTTGGAAGCGTATTATTAAATAATGTTGTGAGCCCACATCGGGGAGCCCTTTGATGTGAGCTTTGAGAAGTGGGTGTTACCCGCAGCATTCTATCAAAAAGCTGCTTAGCCCAGCCCTCCCACCCACCCACGCCCCCTTACTGACTCCTCCCCCTCCCTTAACCTGTATATAATCCAAGGTCGTCTCTGAACTGTGCTCCTAACACAGACATTCTGCGTTGACTTTTCCACCTGAAGACGGAAGCTTGTGTTGCCTCCAAAACGTCGTGATTTAATTATTTTCTTTTATTTTGTTTTATTTTATCTACGTGACTTTACCAAATAAAACCAAAGAGAATGCATATTACAATTCCTTATACGGGAAACATACGAATTAACGGATTACTAACGTAGCATATAATCACAATAACACACATTACAACTAATTACTAATCTACAACTCATTACTAATAATAACCATTGACTGATTTCCAATCGATTATATAATTGTAATATCCCCCCCCCCCTGCCTCAAATCACTGCACCTGAACGAGTTAAATGATGACGTCACCCTGCTGCTCTATTTAAGACCGTGAGCAAGTAAGAGCTTTACCATTCTGGCGAATTGCCCGATGATGCTGGATGTAATTACTAGTGAAACGTCGTACTACTAAAACTGTAAATGTTGTGGATTCACTCTTCAACGCACCGGTGAGCTAAAGTAGTGAACTATTTGTCTTTTGTCAACGTGACACTTTTTTGCTGATTGGCCATGTCGGGTAGTGAGGGTTACGACACATTTATAAATAACGCGATCTAACCCAAAACCTTTATTATGAACCCGTGCTATGTACGGTAAAGTGATGGTTTTGGTTGTATCCTCAGAAAGTTGTCTCTGCATGGCTGAGGAGACAGCTTTGCGGATTGTTGATAACGTAGGCAATTCATCTTGACTTAAAACTTTCGTAACTGCAGGAATTAATATTCTTGGGTCTTTCAGTAAAGTGACGTAGATAGGTTCAAAGAAAATAACAAAAACTACGACGTTTCGATCGCAACACAAACAATCGTCATCACGAGAAAAAAGTATTTTTTCTCCTGATAATTTTTTATATGAAAAAATCTTTTTTTGTCCTGATGACGATTCTTGTGTTGCGATCGAAACGTCATAGTTTTTTTGTTATTTTTGTTATTTTCTTTGAACATGTCTACGTGACTGTACCGAAAGACCCAAGAAATAGGCAATTCATCTCTAGTACAATATAATAGTTTTAGAATGTTGTGTACCATGCCAAATATTACTCAGATTTTTAGTTTTTCCAAAACTCCAGCTAATTTGTCGGTTACTCCTGCAATATGGTAATTTAATTTTGATCGCTTTCAGCAGTATTGCTGTTCGATCTTGGTTTGGCATTCAATGCTCTGTTAATTTGAGCATAATTGTAGCCATTTAATTGTAGCGCTTCTTTAACATGATTAATCTCTCTTCTCAGACTTTCACCATCTGACACTGTTTTGGCCCGATGTATGAGTGTCTTGATGAGAGAGGATTTATTAGCGGGTGATGATGGAAATCTACATTCAGATGACTAATCTATTATATAATTACAATACCCCCTCCTCCCTCTCTGATCTCTGCACCTGATGGGTTCAGTGATGACGTCGTCCTGCTGCACTATTTAAGACCGGAAGCAGGTGGATTGCTTCACTATTCTAGCAAATCGACCGATGATGCTGAATGTAACTATCAGCGAAACGTTGTTCTACTCAAATTGTAAATATTGTGGATTTACCCTCCAACACACCGGTGGTCTGTAGTAGTAACTAAATGACGCGTTGTTTACGTGACAAACCTTACTGGCTGTGTCTGGTGGTGGAGGGTTACGACAAAGTTATACTTACGCGATCTAACTTAAAAATATTTTATGAATTCACTATCCGTTCCAAATATCTTGTACACAAGCTCCTAAACTGAACACCTTTATTAATTTATTTTGAGTAGTTTACAATTACGATAAAAAATCAAGGTATTTTATGCACCCGTGATTCCTAATGCGAGGGACAAAGCAAACCCCTGTTCCCCCCCTCCTACCCACAAATATAGAAGTCAAACTCCGCCTATACCAACCAATTCTCAATCCATTTCATCTGCCCAACCTCCTGGATTGAAGGCACTTTGTTGGTGAAGTTCCCCGCGAATTGCAACTTTGCAACTGACCTCTCTGATCGCTGTGATTCCCCGATCTACCTGTTGCCCAATTTGATCCCCCCACCCCTTGTGGACGATTGTAGGATAACCTTTTCTGCATTGAGGGCCCTTCGTTGTTGGCCTCTTCAACAATTCTCTTGAGACTGGCACGGTGCCCAACACTTTTTTTAACGATGGCTGCAGTCACCCCACTCTTGAAAAAAGCGAGGTTTTTTGTAACAATCATTATCCTAAAGCTGTGGAAAAGTGAGCGGTGCCGTGTGGACCATTTAAGCATTCCAGAAATGCAGAAGCTTCATTGTTAATGAGAAATGAAGTTGACCGTTATAAATGCATGCAATAAATGAGACAAATTTCCACAGGCGGAACGACATCAGGGTTTGTACAATTCAGAGTGTTTAACAACGAGAGAGCCCCATTTGCCATCTGCTCTGGGTTGAAGGTCGTCTCCAACTGTGACACTGAACATGTGAGTACTTCAAATACTTGCTGTCGAGCACGCTGCTACACTGATGGCAGCACAGACCAGTGCATACAAATACAGTATACACTATATCATGGGACCTTTTGCTAGTAACAAAGTATAACAAAAATAATAATAGCTTTAACTCTTTCTGGCAAATAAAACACGTTTCAAGATTACTCATTGTTTTTTTCGGTAAAGTCACGTCTGTAGAAATACAGTAAAATTATATAAAACAAAAAACAAAAAAACAATCACGACGTTTCGATCACAACGCAAGCGATCTTCATCAGGTGTCAAGAACAAATCACGGAGGTAAATACAACAAAAAGATGAGAGACAAGAATTCAGCAAACCTGAAAAAACATTTTGTGAAGCACATCCAGTCAGGCCAACAACACAGTTAGACACTTCCTGGCGGACCACGAATTTCAGAAGAGTGTTAAATTTCGTGTTCAACTGTTGTATTTACCTCCGTGATTTGTTCTTGACACCTGATGAAGATTGCTTGCGTTGTGATCGAAACGTCGTGATTGTTTTTGTTTTAATATAATTTTATTGTATTTCTACATACGTGACTTTACCGAAAAAAAACAATGAGTAATTTTATGCAGTCACGAAAGCTTTAATACTTTATTACGTTTCAAGATGTTGAAACAGCAAATATATACCTTTTGCAAGGAATCGAGTCTGCATGGGACGTGATGTGACGTCATCGTCGCGCTTGTGCCAGAATATAATGCACTTTTAAGCATTGAAGGTTTCCTGGCGAGGAGTCAGACACAGGTATTATGGGTAATTGACCGAGATAGACGGCTGATAATATTTACCACCTGTGCTCCCCACCGATGCTTTGCTCGTTTCTCTTTCGCATCACGCCTTCAAATCAAAATAAATTTAACCGTTTGGATAGCTACCGTCTTAGTGCTGCGTGGAAGCGAATCATCAAATAATAAATTATTTAAATGCATGCCTACGAAGGGCAACGTACTTCAATAGTGATTACCGTTGGTAGGGCTATTTTAGTAAACACAATAGATAGGAAGGACAAGTTCAAAGGGCTCGCATAATGCACACGCATAATACTCTTTGGTTCTATTCGGTAAAGTCACGTAGGTAAAAAAAAAATTCACGACGTTTCGGCCACAACACAAGCGGCCTTCATCAGGTGAAGGGACCAGCCTGTCTCGAAGACTGCGCTGGAGTGAAACAGAGCCAAGCTCAGACTGCGACCTTTAAGCTGTGTGAGAGGGATTAAGGTGCCTCGACAAAGGAATTAGCATATAAAAAAATAGCATTTGATTGGCAGACTTAGCATGATGAAAGGTGTAGCTCGCGGCAGTGCACCTTTAAGCCGTGTGAGAGGGATTAAGGTGCCTTGACAAAGGAATTAGCGTAAAAATTAGCATTTGATTGGTGGACTTATCATGATGAAAGGTGTAGCACAGTGATCGGCACCGGCAGTGCACCAGCCTGTGCTGCGAAAGTTTGGGGTACCACTACTTGAAAAAATATACTGTACCAATGAAAATGAGTTTGATGTTTAGTTCGATTTAGAACATCTTTCCAATGGTTGCTTAATTTGAAACCATCTTTTCGGTTTAAATTGTGTCTGTGTTTGTAGATCCGAATTGCCTCGTGAACAAATCTCTGATAAAAACCTGTGGGTTTGCAAAGAACCTTGGTATCGGAGAAAATTATATCGTGATCACCCACAGCGTTGTAACAGTGATCAGCCACGGCAGAAGAATTCGTTCTGCCGTGTTTCAAATCTGATTTGTGCTCGCGAATTCGGTCAGAGACATGTCGCTTCGTTTCCCCGATATAGCAATCACCGCAGGTACAACTCAATTTGTAAACCCCGGGGTACTGTAAGTCAGGAATGACATCCTTCACGGATGGGATCAGATCACGAATTTTATGTACTGTATTGAACCGGACCTGGATCTTGTGTTTGTTTAGAATTTTGGAGATATTTTTCATAACGCCTGCTATATATGGTAGTGTGATGGTTTTGACCGGAGTATCAAGTGGTTGTTTCTGTATGGAGGGAGAAACAGCTTGGCGGATGGTACGGTCAGAGTATCCATTCCTTTTGAGGGCCAGGTGTACATGTTTTAATTCACTGGTCAGGTGGTGTTGGTCCGAAATGCAATGAGCCCTATGGTATAAAGTTTTGATGAGAGAATTCTGTTGGGCTGGGTGGTGGTGGGAATCAGGCTTCAAGTAGGAATCTGTGTGGGTGGGTTTCCTGTAGACAGAATGCCCCAATGAGCCTTCAGGTCTCCTCTCAAACAGAACATCAAAGAATGGTAGCTTGCCATTTTTCTCCACTTCCATGGTGAATTTGATGGCGGGATGTCTGGAATTGATGTGGTGTAGGAAAAGGTTCAGAGCTGGGAGGCCATGTGGCCAAATGACGAAAGTGTCATCCACATATCTCTTCCACATGGAAGGTCTGAGGATGGAAGTCTGGATGGTGTCCGATTCAAATTTCTCCATGAAAACATTGGCTATCACTGGTGACAAGGGGGGACCCATGGGAGTACCCTCATTTTGCTTGTAGAAGGAACCATTCCAAGTGAAGTAAGTGTTGGTGAGACAGTGCCTGACCAGCGTAGGTACCTCGGGGTTTAGTCCATGTTGTACCAAATCTTCAATTATATCAATGGTATCAGGTACCGGGACCTTGGTGAACAAGGAGACCACATCGAAGCTGACAAGGATATCGTCAGGGGACAGTACAACGTCTTTGACCATAGAAACCAATTGGGCTGAGTTAAGTACTGCTGAGGAGGTCTTGCCAGTGAAAGGTAGCAAGGTATCCGACAGAAAACGTGCTAGCTTATAGGTAGGGGAGTTGATCGTGGATACGATGGGTCGTAGTGGAGTGACTTCTTTATGAATCTTTGGAAGACCATAGAATCTAGGGGGTCTTGCAGCAGAAGGTTTTAGGGAGGGACGTTTAGTTGGTTCAATTAGGGAGGTCGAACTTGTGATGATCTTGTTGGTTTTCATAGTTAGGCTACTAGTAGAGTCATTTTTAATTTTTGAGTAACTACCATAATTGAGAAGGTCCTGAATTTTATTGTTGTATGAGTTTTTATCCATAATTATAGTGGCATTGCCCTTGTCGGCTGAGAGGATGACTATATCATGTCTCTCTTTTAATTTCGTGAGTTCAGAGCGTTCATCTTTGCTGATGTTGCTAACGGGTTTCTTAGCATTCTTAAGAATAGTAGCTATTTCAGCTCTCGCGACCTCTGCTTGGATGTGTCCTATATCTTTGAGGGCTACATCGACCTGAGAAATGATATCATCTATCGGTATATGTTTTGGGGTGACAGCGAAATTTAGTCCTTTAGCCAATACTGTTTTAAGATTGTCCGAAATCGGGGTGCTACTCTGATTGATAACAATTTTGTTAGCGTCTAGTTTTGTGATCTGTGGAACCGGGTTTTTCTTTGATAGGTGGTTGAATTTAGCAATTAGGTTAGCTTTGCATTTGATTGAAAGTGAATCGGCAGATGAAGCAGTCATGTTGTCTACGTGGTTCCAATCAGAAGGAGACATTTTTTGTGTTAACGTTAAATGAGCTTGTAGGAGAGCCCTGTCTAAAGTATCGAGTTCAAAACGGAGTAGTCTTATCCTCTCTGAGATTAAAGCGAGGCTGGCCTTAAACAGAATCTGTTTAGAGTTCGGTGAGGACACAGCAGCAGAAGTGAGTGTTAAGGCGATGGGCATTACCTTGTGGTCGCGGCATCTTTTGAGGAAGGTCAGCATCTCGATGAGCTGTGACTTCTTGTCCCGTTGTCTGTTAAAAGCTCTAACAGATAGGTGAAAACCCTCCCCGTAGAGGCTATCAATTCTAGATTTGAAGCCTTCGTGACTGTAAGGATCCATACTCGTTGGTTCTATTCGGTAAAGTCACGTAGGTAAAAAAAAAAAATCACGACGTTTCGGCCACAACACAAGCGGCCTTCATCAGGTGAAGGGACCAGCCTGTCTCGAAGACTGCGCTGGAGTGAAACAGAGCCAAGCTCAGACTGCGACCTTTAAGCTGTGTGAGAGGGATTAAGGTGCCTCGACAAAGAGATTAGCATTTGATTGGCGGACTTAGCATGATGAAAGGTGTAGAACGCGGCAGTGCACCTTTAAGCTGTGTGAGAGGGATTAAGGTGCCTTGACAAAGGAATTAGCGTAAAAAATAGCATTTGATTGAGTTGTACCTGCGGTGATTGCTATTTTGGGGAGACGAAGCGACATGTCTTTGACCGAATTCGCGAGCACAAATCAGATTTGAAACACGGCAGAACGAATTCTTCTGCCGTGGCTGATCACTGTTACAACGCTGTGGGTGATCACGATATAATTTTCTCCGATACCAAGGTTCTTTGCAAACCCACAGGTTTTTTCAGAGATTTGTTCACGAGGCAATTCAGATCTACAAACACAGACACAATTTCAACCGAGAAGATGGTTTCAAATTAAGCAACCATTGGAAAGATGTTCTAAATCGAACTAAACATTAAACTAATTATCATTGGTACAGTATATTTTTTCAAGTAGTGGTACCCCAAACTTTCGCAGCACAGGCTGGTGCACTGCCCGTGCCGATCACTGTGCTACACCTTTCATCATGATTAGTCCGCCAATCAAATGCTAATTTTTACGCTAATTCCTTTGTCAAGGCACCTTAATCCCTCTCACACAGCTTAAAGGTGCACTGCCGCGTGCTACACCTTTCATCATGCTAAGTCCGCCAATCAAATGCTAATCTCTTTGTCGAGGCACCTTAATCCCTCTCACACAGCTTAAAGGTCGCAGTCTGAGCTTGGCTCTGTTTCACTCCAGCGCAGTCTTCGAGACAGGCTGGTCCCTTCACCTGATGAAGGCCGCTTGTGTTGTGGCCGAAACGTCGTGATTTTTTGTTTTTTTTGTTTTTTTACCTACGTGACTTTACCGAATAGAACCAAAGCGTATGGATCCTTGCAGTCACGAAAGCTTCAAATCTAGAACACATGCATAATGTACGTTGCCTCAGTATACCCCCCTCCCCCCACACATTGTGCAAGAGCGCAACTGCGTGGTCACCACATCTACGCCTCTGTATAAGGAACGAAACAGGTGGACATCTCCACAAATCTGGCTGTCGCCTGATGAAGCTAGTTGAAATTACTGGCGAAACGTCGTACTCAATTTGTAAATGTTGTAGCTTGGCTCTCCAACACACCGGTGTGCTGTACGAGTAACGAATTGGCACGTTCTGTTTACGTGACGAATCTTACTAATCGGCTGTGTTGGGTGGTGGCGGGTCTTAACGACACATTTATATATATGCGATCTAACCCAAAAACCTCTATTTTGCTTTCATTGTTGTTGGAAAGCGACTTGTTTCCAACTGCCCAGTAGCGTCCCTCATGGGCCTCCTCCACACACAGGGGCCGGTCTTGATTCCGCCGGTACCAGTCATCGGCAAGTCCAGTCAGCTCCACATCCTGAACCACATCAGCCTTTCTCCTCTCTCGCTCATGTGATGCCCGAGCACATGCCCACTCAAGGAAATGCCAATATCTGTGTGTACAGTTCTGTGTAGGCGGAGGCGGTTACGTGCCTCAGGAATCCCCGAAGGAATGCGGTGACTTTGGTGCCTTCGACTGGAACGGCTATGGGACAGGTGTGGAATGGAGCGCATCAAAGAAGCTGCTGGAATCCGCCATCCTCATCTACTACCGTTAATCTGCCACCTGAAAAGCGCCCCGTGAGCAACTAAAGTGAATTTATTTACAAAAAATTGACAGACATAAGGTTAGTGCTAGGGTAGGAGCAGGGGACCTCACTGACTGGCGGGCCGAATGTTGCTTACGACTCAATTTCATACGGCCCACAGTCGGAAGACCCAAACAATATGTATCCATTACTGACAGCATCTTTGCTGCACTAATCGGCGCATGAGAATGAAATATTTTCTTTTTACAGATATGTTTCGTATATTTAGAGTGCCCAGTTACTTTCCTCAATGTAAGGGCCTCATTTTGCTCTATCGACACGCACATTAATTTTTCAGTCATTATTATAAAATGCTAAGGTTTATGTTAATGTGTGGTCTGCCAGAGATGATTTAAAGTCCTATTCGATCGTCCATAAAGAACGTATACCCCATCCCTTATACTCCGGATTGGTCATCCAGTTATGGTCAGGATGAGTAGATTGTCCTCTCTTCTAACAATTTGTATCCACCCCAACCCAGACCCATAGTCATTATTGCCGAGTCTGGCATTTTCACTTGTTGTTCACTTTTCACTTTGTGTTTTAAAGAATTACCAAATAATAATAAATAGCCGAGGCAATTGAATATTTTATTTCTGGGACACTATTTTTTTCCAGGGTGCACTTCACTCCGCGACTGGGGTACCAATCAATCCGAAATCAATGCTTCTCCGCAATGTCGAAACGCTAAACATCAGCATAAAAAATCCTTATCGAAATTTTTTACTTTGAATAGTGCATCGTGTCAGCTCGTCGAGATGAGTCGATTGCCGCATCGCCGACCATCAACATGCTAAAAGTGACTGCTTCACGGACATTATGCGAGAGCCGGGGTGCTATGGTACCCCGGGGTACCGCCATAAGGTTCATTTTAAGAACACTACTTTCAGCGGTTTCAGATCTCCCACAAAAATAAAAAACAAATCCCAAATTTGGCCCACAAAGGGGGCGAAGGGGGTCAGTGGTGTAGCCATCGATTCTGCAGGAAGTGCAACTGCACCAGGGCCCACACAGGAGAGGATCGCTCAGGCGGCAGGTCATGAAGAGGGGAGGAACTGGACAGGGTGCCCCATTTCATTACCTGGGCCCAGTGCCCAGGTAATGAAATGTTGCCCACACGATCCAGCTGTGATGACAAGGTTACGTCAATGCTCTCTCTCCCCTTGTCATTCGGGGGGGGGGGGGGGGTGATATGGCTTAGCGGTAGCACGCTCTCCACCTCATTCAGATGTCCACGGTTCGAATGCAGCGGCCACCCCTGATTAATACTGAGGGTGAGATAATTATAAGAATCATCATATGCGCCATCAGCTTTGGAGTGGACGTTCCAGATCCCCTTACATCATCATTCACAAGACTAGGCCATTGGGTGCCAGTTTTAAGATCCACATTTTCTTATCATGAAACTAATCTGCAACTTACTCCATTGGGATTAAACGTAAGCAATCGGCCCCAAACTGGCAGACTAATGCCCGTTTGCAGGCCAGGTACCGGGTCAGCTTGTGCCAACAGGGCCAGCTGCTACTGGGGCTGCCCTGTCGAATGTGTTGAGATGAGATGTGACGTGAAAGGAGGGCGCTATTATAAACAAAAACAAATTAATCCTACAATTACTCTACATTCACTTGTTCTACTCTATATTCACATGTTGTACTTAAGAGCAGAGATCCTTGCATATTCCTACAATACCCTTATATCTCAAGTAACACTTTTATCTCACGTTACAGTCCAACTGATATATTCGTTACATTATACATGCTGCACTATTTCTTTAATTAATTTGCCATGTCTACATATTTGAATGCCTCAATAGTATGCCCCGTACAGCATTGGTCAACTTATTCCTGGCCTTAGCCCAGTATCTGTGAATCCCTTAAGGTCACTGCTCTTGACGAATTTTCAGGAGGGTGGTGGGGGGGTATCACTTTCGCTGATAAGACATCGTCAGTGTAAGGGTGCCGCCACACATTTGAAACCATTGGGGGGTTTGACAGCAGCACGATCATGATGATGGGGAAGGGGGGGTTCACATTCTTGTACTGTGGTGGGGGCCGCACGTCAGGGGCCGCACTAAAGGCCACCAGGGGCCACCGGTTGGCCCCGCGTGGGCCTTGCAATGAAGAGCCACTTGCCGACAGAGAGAGGCAGCAGACGTCCTCCTGTGGTTAGATTGAGGAGGTGCTACTCTGCCTCAAAAGAGTCGAACTAATCCTCTCCAGGTAAATAGGCCTGACAAGCCTTGGCAATTGACCTCGTGGTTAGTTAGCCAATCGAAATCCAGCACCGTTTCTGTTAATGGCCACGTGCTTCCTCACTTCAAAGTTCATCGAAAATCCACGTTTATTTTTGCTTTGAAGACAGACAAAACTTGATGAAAATTTTTTGTTCAATGATAGAAAAAAAAACAGTTACCGCTTTCTGTCAGAAGAGGGAGATACGTCCCCTTAACTGTTGAATCCTCATCCGCACTTTGCTTTTAATCAGCTCAACAATCCACGTGGAAGATTGAAAACCCCCTTTAGCTAAACCTGCACCGTATTCTGCCAAACTGCGTAATGCATACCTGTCAACCCTTTATCAGCGCCCAGCTTATTACAGACCAATTCAGACCTTTTTGGTCACCCCGTGCCCTTATAATTCTCAAAGTTCATCCTACAAAGTCCCATCACAAGGGAGAAACACAAAGTAAAAAAAAATGGATTTTTTCGCCCGTTTTGAAGCGACTGTACGCCGTATGGACCTGAAAACTCAATTTTCCTGATCAAAAGAATTCGGGGTAAAACCGCGTGGGTTGACACGGTACGGTCATGGGAAAACCCCACCGTGTCTAGCATGTGTAGAGGTGTTAACTATGCGCTGTTGCGTAACCTGCGTTGCCACCAGGGCAGTGCAGCATTACCTCTGGGTACAACGGTTGGGGTCAGTCGAGGTGAAACGGATCGTGGCCAGGGTTTGGTGCGAACCAATCAGACGGTTCCACGTGGGAATGTATGATTGGTTCTACCTGGCCACGAAGGGGTATAAGACGGGTGACCCAACGGACCTCGAGAAGTTCTCTCCCTGCACGAAGACAGAAGACTGGGCTGAAGCCTAGCTAGGACCCTGGACCAGCCTTTCAGCCCTTCTAAGGGCTAAGGCTCGGCATACCCAGTGGTCAGGACCCACCGGGCCAGCGGTGGGTCAGATAGCCTCCCCTAGGTCCTAGCCGGAGGACTAGGATAGCGGTAGACGTGTGAGTCCCGCCAAGTCCGGAGGTTGTACCTCCTTAGGTATCAAGGAGGTTAGCGGTAGACGTGTGAGTCCCGCCAGGTCCGGAGGCTGTACCTCCCTAGGGTATCGGGTGAGGGGACCGAATATCCCTCTGTGTGTGTTAAGCGTTGTATAAGGAAATAATACAATAAACAGAGTGTGCCTCCTAAAGAAGTCTGCTCGTCCTTACAACACTACACATGCTCCCTGTTAAATGTCTCTCAGCGAGCGAGATGAGGAAATATGTGAAACCAAACTTGATTTGAAGCTTTCGTGACTGCAGGACTTACTCTTTGGTTCTTTTGGTAAAGTCACGTAGAAAGAAAATAAATTAAATAATAGAATACGCCGGTTCGATTGCAACACAAGCAATCGTCATCAGGTATAGAACAAACCTAGTGAACTTATAGAGAGACAAAACACAGACACGGAGACACACAGACAGACACACAAGCAGAGAGAGACAACACAGAGACACACAGAAAGAGACACACAACATAGACACACAGAGACCCAACGCCTGTGTCGAGGCCTTAAATAGAGAGAGAGGGGGGGGGGGGTGCAGAGAGAGAGGTGGGTCCGCTGGCGTGGAGTAATTATCATGTCAATTAGAGAGCTGTGTGGAAATGTGAAACCATTTCTTTTTTTAATAAATGTTCACCCTTTGCCTAATGCAAGTCAACAATCTACCTAGGAGTATAACTGTGGACATTCAACGTTGGGCCAACATCAACCGACGTTGGATCCCAACGTGGAATGTCTGAATCTCTTAATTCGAGGGATATATAAACAACGCGCTTTTATTTGTGCCAGGCGATATTAATAGGCGGCTTCATAAGCGAACAACTAATTAACGATGCTGCATTTTTAGACGATTCATCTCCTTTTGATTGCGTGGAGTTTGTGGCTTTAGCTATTTGCTGATCATTTCTACTCTTATACAAAATACAACCCGTGCTAATAAAACGTATGCCAATTTATGTACGTGTACTGACTTTTATTGCCGTCGGAACGACATTTTCAACACTTTCTAACCTCCGGTTGAAACCAATAATTGCATATGTTCATTGAAATCTACATTGAAAACTCATTTATTTGGAACGGATTTTTGTGTTCAGTTTTGTTGGCATTCCACCGCACCCCTCCGATTACCACGGTTGGCTACGTACGGTGCAAAAGAAGTTCAACAAACATAGATTTGAGGGTTGTGGTGTTAGTAACATGGAATGCACAGCCAGCTACCGCTAAAGTCTTCTTAAAGTACCATGTCATAGAGAGATTACAATGCTAATCACCGATTTTCAAAGTTGTCGTCGGTATATTTTCACGATAGGAAGTGCCCATTCGTATATGTTGCGTGTTAAAGAATGGCTCGTGGAAGCATATATCACAGAGCCACCTCTGAGATCCCTGAAAGTGACCTCTGTTTCACTCAGTAGGGGGCAGCTCTATCCCTCCTGTGCAGTCACTCAAGAGTACCGTGTGATGCTCGGTGCGTGACAGTAACGCTGACATTTAATTTGCTAGCTGGAGTTTAGCCAAATTAAGAGAATAGTTAAAGTTAATGCGATTTGTTTGTTTTTGTGTGCAGATAGACTGAGACCATAAACTCCCTGCCCTTGAGAACCTGGTTTAACCTCAAGTACATGCCACCAGCCTGTATGTGAACTCCAGATCTCAGATCGTGCCAGCTCCACGCCGACATCAAAGCCACCCGCTCGCCACTTCTTATTACAAATCACTGTTGCAACTATGTCGAAACCATACAACGTAGAGTGGTGCATTAACAAAAGAGTAGATGCTTGACAATAACAAAATGCATTGAATTCACGCACTTTTGATGCCTGGTTACGCAATGGCACCTTCACTAACTGCATGGAACGCTGCCGCGGTCGAATCGGTTACCGCGCCGGACTTGCGACTGACCCAGAGGTCGCCGATTTGATCTCAGTTGAAGCGAGTTTCTTGAATCCTCCGGTGCCTCCATCCACCCAAGGGGTATGAAATGGGCACACCACAGTTAGTCGATCGACCGGGTTCCATGTGGTGGGGGTAAAGTGCGGGTACTCTCACCTGCATTTAATACGTCTGGCCCACGTGGAAGAGTAGGCCAAGAACCCCCTATAGCGGCTCTATAGAGAGCTCCCTGTGGTGGAGGCCCTTCCGCTTAGCAGTGGCGTGTAAATAACCAAACCCAATAACAGATGCCCATTGTAAGTTATATGAACACATTAACCCCCCCCATGCCTCTGGTCCTCGCACCTGATTGGCTCACAGGTGACGACATCACATTTTACCGCTCCACTGAAGACCGAAACAGGAGGAGGATTTATCCGCGACTCTGTGGCCATCACCTGATGATGCTGGTTGTTGTTGTTGTTGTAATTACCGGCGAGACGTCACGGTACTCGATATGTAAATGTTGTGGTGGGTTTACTCTCCCAACACACAACCGGTGACTGCTCAACTAGTAACTAATTGGACACGTTTTGTTGACGTGACAAACCTTACTAGGTGGCCGTGTCGGGTGGTTGCGACGTTTAATGAGCCTAGGCAGAACATTTCAATAGAAGGGACGTTGGCAGATTGTCACGAATGAAGACAGAGTAACAGCCATCTCGTCTTGTCGTAATTTACATAGCGCCTTGAGTAAGGCGCATCTACGGAGCATCAACAACGGTATGTTTGAACGTAATGGTGAAGACGAGGTGGATATAATAAGACGAGAGGAAGCGATGGGCGGACCGGTGACGCGTGAATTAGGTCAAATCTTTTTTACACGAGAGCAAATGACGATGAATCCATTGGATGGACGGGGAATGAGTGGTCGCCATGGAGAGATAATATGAAGGAAGAACAGTAACGGTAGTGGTTAGAATGGGGAGAGATTAGGGGGTCTTGGGATGAACGAGGGGTAATCCACTGAGGAAATACCCCTCAACGACCACCCCTGTTAATGACTAATCACTTAACGACAGGCCTCCATACAGCCCAATGTGGAGTGTATAGTAGTGGAGTGTATAGTAGCGTAGTATAATCTTTGTTTTTTTCGGTAAAGTCACGTAGGTATAAAATAAAATAAAAAAATAAATTAAATCACGACGTTTCGGAAGCAACACAAGCGTCCGTCATCAGGTGGGACAGCCACAGCAAGAAACAAATTGCTGTAATGGGCAAAAGAGCTGCTTGTGACAAGAGATTATATAAGGTAAGAGGGGGGGAGGAGCCAGGGAGGAGAGATGGAGAAGGTGGGGGGGAGTGGCGATCTGCCGACTGAGCAATTGACGCTGCTAGAGCGACACAATGCCGGAGCTGGGCAATGAGCGGACCTGGGGGGTAGAAGGCTGAAGAAAATGGAGATGCGGATATGAATATAAAATATAACGCCATTAAGATTTTACCTGGTTAATAACATCCTTCCAATGATTGCTCAATTTGAATCCATCTTCTCGGTTGAAAGACGTTTAACATACATGACACTATACACTACAGTATACACTACAAAGTACACTATAGACTACAATACACACTACAATACTATACACTACACTATGACACACTACACTATAATTACAAAATATACTATACTACAATACACTACTATACACTACACCACGATACTAAATTGAAAACTAATTTCTTTAGAACTGCTCTTTGTGTTTACCTTCTTGTCTTTCCCCTGCACCTCTGATTAGAGCGGTTGGCTACGTACAGTGCGAAAGAAGTTCAACATACATAATTATTCGTAGTGTGCTGTGCGTTATAAGCAATATAGATTATAAGGTTGTGATGATTGGAGCAGCGAAGAGCAAAAACAATAAACTAAACATCTGAATACAATGACAAAATGACGGCAAATTGATATCGCGATAACTGTCACGTAACATTTGTTCTCGTATTGTATGATAAAAAAATGATATCATGGCACACACTAGTGATGGCACTTGGGCCTGATTGACATCATCACCATGTAAGGGCACCCCTAGGGAAATGAAACCGTATCAAGTGAGTGAGGCGTTGCGGTCGGATCCACTTGGTCTTTTGAAACCTCGCAAAAGCCAGGAGGCATATCATGAGTCAAGTTTCAAGTTTCATTCATTAGGTATAGCCATGTGAGCCATGCGGCTCTTGAGTCGGGTGCAACCGCAACAAACAAAATATGAACAGAGAACATCTTAAAGCGACGACACACAACATAGACATCCTGGATAAACCAGCAAATCTTCCAGAAAAAAAAACACCGTATTTCAAAACTGTGTGCAAAAATCCCAGTGTGATGCAAGTCAAACAATAACAACCATAAGTCAATTTAGATTCAAGTTATCAGGCCAACTTCGCACTTCCGCAAGAAACATGGCTTAACCATATGTTTTAGAAATCACCAAAATAAAGCTATAAAATACAATGTAACAACAGTAATCATTGGAACTTTGATTCAAATTTAACAATAACCGATATACATAACATGTACGAACAAACTTGCAGGCATATCTGTAAGCATGACACTCCCCGTGTATGATGTGTGAGTGAGTCAATGGTAGTAAGTGTATGATGTGTGAGTCAACGTATGATAAGTGAGTCAGTGTATGATGTGTGAGTCAGTGGTAGTGTGAGTGAGTGTATAATGTGTGAGTGAGTCAGCGTATTATGAGTGAGTCAGTGTATGATGTGTGAGTGAGTCAGTGTAAGATGAGTGAGTGTATCACGGCATCCTCCACGCCATCGCGGCCTCCTCCCTG